CGTTATGTTCTATTTCCAATAGTTAGTTCGATCTTGTCGAATGTAGATTTGGCGCAGAGTCTTTGGCCATATAGCCTACCATTGTTTATTGTCGTTTTACACTAACAAATTGCGGTCTCAGAAAAAAACATTGTATAGATTTTCATTGTAATTTTTCCCGTAGAACTGATTAGCGTAGTTAGTTTTACAAAAAATGAATTTTTTGGTAGTTTGTTTAAATAATTTTTATAAACAATTGCAAAAGACAAAAGGAAAAACACGAGTATTTTTTTTTGTTATGCCCCGTTTCTAACAAATAATTTGATGCTATCAAATCCAGTTTTGCCTGGGCCTTAATGGGTTAGTTACTAAACACAAAAAACTCAACAAACCATGGTGGAACAAGGAGTGCGAAAATGCATTAAAAATACAAAAAAAACTGATTGAAATGAACAAAGATCTATTAATAAATAACATCATAGAATTTAACCCTTTTCAACATATTAAAAATATTGGATCCTATATTACATGTAAATACATGTATGAGAATTGCCATTGGACCATGTAGAACAAGCTCAACAAGCTGTATCTTAAGCGAAAGTAATATGACTCCACTTTACATGAGAAGAAAGAAACTGTTTGTAAACTACGCATGCATAACTCTATTGAATCCAAGCAATCAAGCTTTGAAATACATCACCAATAGAAACTTCTCGAGTATTATAAAATTTTCTAAATTACCAATTCATATTAAAATACAGTTAGATATAAAACCACTTGAATTAAACAATTTATCAGTTATTCAAACAAATAGCAGTACCATTAACAAACCCTGGAATAAAGAGGAGAACAATAAATTTATAATAATAAATCGAAAACCCAACCCTTATCGGAAATAGAAAACTAAAACTCTAAACTACGAACACATTTTAACCCTTACAACAAAACAAGTTAATCACATAATTGTTATTTCTCTACTCTCCAACCAAGAAAAATACTGCCAAAGCTCCCGGATTGGATAAGTCAACAAATATTAATAGAAATTTTTATAATTAATACAATTGAAGTCTTAGTCTCCTCGATAATAAATATATTATCCACAGAGAAAATATGGACTTAATAAAAGCATTAAAAGAAAAATATCACAGAAGAGAAAGCTCGAACAACATTATTCAGTTTTTGAAAAATAATTTAATGATCGCTCTTACACAATATTGTAACATATTTACGTATGTTATTTTGAAAGTTCGCACCCTGCATTTCATAGGTTATATTTATACCATGAAAGCAAGAATTCGTTCACTTCGTATTATTCTACTTCTAATTTGGGGAGATCAAAGTAAATTGTTATAACAAAATAAGTAAATACAAGATTTTAGTAATCAAATTAAAAAATAATATAAGCATAATTCGTTTCAGCTGAAGGCTTCAAATTACCAAAGTACTGAGAGAGATTAATGAAGGACATAGTCTCAAGTCGCTTTTAGCTCAGAGGATATCACTCCCAAGAGTTGAACTCTGAGTCTACCATGAGGTGGATCTACAAAAATCAGTGGGTAAACAAGAAGCAAGTTTCAATTTTTACTGTGATTTGCTATGTATAAGATATGATGAAGAGTTTTTTTATGTCAGTGATGATTTGATACATGATTATTTGCTTTGATATCAATGCAAATAATTATAGAAATTAAGCGAACTTAATAAATATGATGTGCTTAAATCAATCACCATATTAGCTCTAAACTTAATTTTAAAAATCACTTTCAGTTACATTAATTAAAAAAAAAAACAGTGAATGAGAAAAGGATATTTTTTGCAACTGGACATGAAAAAGATGCCATTGAAGGTTTAAGAGGTTTTGTAAAGCATTATGCAACGGTATATAATTTAGGCTATCCTGAGATTGATGCAATACAATGTACAGAGAGCTTTGTTCGGCATGTTCAATACTACTAATTCAACGTATACTACTTCAATACAGTTGCAACATATGACAGAAGAAATAAAAAATTTTCGTAAATTTGACGGTATCCAGCAATGTCATCTGTGAAAGTCTGACCCATTCGAAGGGGAAATCAAACGTTTCATTGTTAATTCTGCTGTATATCAATGGGTTGCAATAGAAAAAAATGTAAAGAAAATGACTAAAAGTAAATGTAAGGTGAAGAAAACTTCAACAAAATAGGAAAAAATAATAAAATACGTCAGGACAAGGCAAAAGTTATATAAAAAACGTTAAGAAAACAAATTACAAGAATAAAACCAAATCAAACAATAAGTAAATAAAAGATAAATATTATTTATAAAAAATAAATGTAATAATATTATTTGTTTTCCTTTGAACTGTCTTTGTTTATGGAATTTATTTCTTTCATCACGATTTTCTGTCATATTAAAAAAAAAAATTTGTTTACTCTTTTTCTCAGTAAAATAGCAAAAATTAAAAAATCTGACTGGTATACCTTTTAATATATTGGTATGACGAATCTGTAAAAAAATATTAATCAAAGAAATGACCTTTTTGAGATATATTTTTTACAAGATGCACTTTTTCGAAAAAGTGCAGTCTTCCAAGAAATGTATTTATGCATATTTTTGATCATATAGTTTTGAAAAGTTAGCATTTATTTATAATATGAAAAAGCTTTCATCTGATTGCAACTAATAACAAACGAGCTGCAGAGAGTTCAAATTTGTTTTTAAAAATTCAGTTTTTATTTTCAATTTTAGAAGTACATTTTCCACTGGGTAAGATAGCGTCAAACTAACGATGCCATTCATAGCATATCCAAAAAAAAAAATATCCGTGTCTTTTTTTATTTTGCGCCATGTTGCCACAGCCACGCTTGGTCGCTGCGTCCGTGCCAGGAGAGTGCCGCACATAGGGCCAGCGATTATCGCTGTTCGCCCTGTCACATCGGTTTCATTTGCTTTCCGGCTTATATTTTTGGCTTCGCTCTGAGCCAAGATATTTGATTTCTTCACACTCAAAAAAAAAAAATAGTCCATCGTGTGTTGGTTATCATTCAAAGAAAAATGAAAAGAGTGCATTTAAAAAAGGTTACATATTGGGATGGTCCAGTTAAAATTATAAGTATTAGTATTTTTTTAAACTTATTCTCACGATTCTAAGTTGGAAACAGTCCTTTATAAGTAGTTGATTTTTATGGTAGATTTAAAACTGTCACCCTTTTTATAATTTAGCTATACCGCCAGGCATTCGCGAATTCCGAATTTATTTTCACCAGGTATCGAATAATAGGGACATTATTATTTATCATTAATCATATTAAAAAAATCATTTTTTACACCATCATTCATGTTAATAAAAACAATGATAATGCCATTATAATCAGCATAGGTGCATTTTTCGTACCTAATAAGTCTTTTAATTCGTGCCGCTTTTACAAACTTAGATCGGTTACATACGTTTAACACTAAGGAAACATTAATTAATGAATTACTTTTTTATAAAACTGGAAAAATGCCGTTAAAATAATTCGCATCATCTTCAATATTTATGTCTTACTCTTATTATTAAGAATATAATGCATTTGATAGAGAATGTAGCGGAATCTCGACGCTTCTGCGATTTAGATCATGATTTATCTGTTGTTTATATTGTAACGGCCTGTGAAATAATCAAATTATTCTCGCGGCCCGTTAAGAATTTTGTTTTCGCTGTTCGGTGCGGGGCTCACCGCCGCCCCGATCAGCTAGCCGCTTCCTGGCGTTCCACCGAATACGGGCGGACACGCGCTGCCCTGAAAAGGGATCGCGAAAGCACGGCTAAGCACGAGAGCGTGCGTGAGTTCCAATCACGGGCGTGGGAAGGGACAGAGGTACCTTCCTAGGTACGCTCAACACGACGACAACACTAGTGTAGGTCAAATCGGGCTTTATTCCTTTAGGCAAATCTTATACACAATATCGCGTGCCGAGATTTTGCTTTGTATCCTATTTTAGAAAGAGAGACGCTCGCTCGCGCAACTATCACACGCTAAATAATCGCTTACAAACGCAACGAAACTCACCGTGAAGTAGCTGCTACAGACAGACTACCCCTCGCTAGTCGCCCGCGTTATCGCCCTTGCTCGGGCGGGCAAGTTCTGCCCCTGGTAATCGCCCACTCGAGATGACGATCTACAGGTTCCGGCGATCCTCGGGGATGGTCTCTACTTCCTTGCGCACTTTCACTTTTTTTCTCTTGCCGGTCGCTCTCCTTTTTCTTTAGTTCGTGCGCGCACGTGACAATCCTTCCAGCTCGCCGATCTAAGTCTCAGTCCTCGAAAATCGTTTTCTCTCCCCACTCTACCGCTACGGCACACGTCTGATCGAGTCTCGTTCTGTCTCTCTCTCTTCACTCCTCGCTCGCTTGCCCGCTTGGCCATGCTCGGCCTCACGCGCGGACAATCTTCCGCGAAAACGGCCCCGGCCGTTATAATATTAAAATCTCAACCATTGTCAATTTTAGCTGTATACATATTGTGTACTTAACGTAATAAGTCATAATTGAGAATTCCCAAACATGATAATTGCTACACGATAGCAAATTTAATAGTAAACATAACGAAAGGCCTAGATTTCGCGTGGAAGACAGGTCTTGTAACGGCATGTACTACGTGGATAATTTCAGATCGTGAAATAAAGCATTTGTTCAAGGTAAAATTAAAATTACTTTGATTCATAACAGTGCCAAAGTTTGCCTAATTAGTGAGAAGCTTAAATTAATTTTAGGGATGGTATTCAAACTTTCGGGACATTTTCATTCAGAACAACTAGAAAATTTTATTTCGAAAAGATTTTACATATATCATTATCAATTTTTGAGACCATGTAGTAACAGGTATTTTTTTACCACAATTTAATGATATCTTTTTCAGTGTTTCTGTAATTTATAATTCTTTTGATTGTATATTAATAAAATATATAAACGTATTTATCTATTAAGAAATATTATAGTGACGAAAACTATAGATATCAATAATGCATTAAAAGTGTTAATGATTTTTCTATAACAGGTTCTGATAGCTATGAATGCAAATGTAGAAGATAAAGGTATCAAAGGAGATTGCACGCCTTTGATGGAAGCAGCTAGTGCTGGACATGTTGATATTGTGAGTCTTCTCATTGCTCATGGAGCAGACGTAAATGCCCAGTCATCATCAGGTTAGAGTATTAGAATTTATATTTAACGTATTAAAGTCCATTTTTTATATCTGTTTTCTAGTACATTTTCTTGCATTTATAAAATGTTATCGCCATCGCACAGTGGGATATTTCTGATTTTTTTTCCATAAATCTCCTATAAGCCGTAACTTTCATACGATTTTGATAATTTTTTTAAATTACTCGAAATTAGTTGTACTTTTTGGTGTTCGAACGCCTTACTGCAATCATTAATATTATATAATTATTTACAACATAAGAGAATAAATAAGATTGTTATTACATTTACAGTGGAAATGGTTATGTAGACGTTTAAAACAATATTTCTATATATTTTTGTCGCTGTTTTTCGAGATTCCATGATTAAAAAAATGTTTTTGTTTACAAAAAAATTCAGTACGGTGTGATTAAAAAAAAACTACTGACAAATTTTTTTATGGATAGATTTTATATAAAATCGTTAATTTGACTCGAAAATAGTATCACATTTTGGCACATACTTCTGAAACTTTCAAAATATGGTTGTAAATAAAGATTTATTATTCAATAAAGATATATTATTCAATGTAGGTCGTAGCTTCACTGTGCAAGGGTGCTATATGGTGATTTTTTTAGTTTTGCATGTAGTTGAATACGAATCTCACGTCAGATTTGCAAAAGTAAATTTTTTTGAAATAATTTGTTTAATCAGATTATTGCAAAATTGAACGTTTTTGCTGATAGTAAATATTGAACTTAACTAAAAAAATCGAAAGAACTTGGATATTTTAGAATTTCTCATGAGATTCATAATCAACAACTACAAAACTATTGTAAGTATGTGCAATTAGCAAAAATGCTAAATTTTGTTATGATTCCAATCAATTATTACACAATAACATAATCTCACAATAAAATGTTTGTTAGCATGGAAACAGACCACCTTATCTATACGTACTTAAGATTGTTGATTCCGAATCCGGAGTACATTTTCTCCGTGAAGTCAGGGCAAGGTTATTTAAAGATCAAATCAAGGAATTTACCTTTTGCAAAATAGTCCCGAAAATAAATGGATATTTGTTTGTATTGTATATGTTTTTATGATTCCCAAGAAAATTTTGTACAACTTCTCAAAAATCGATCCGTGCTACTTTCTCTTTACCAATCATTGCTAGACGATTTTATTTTAATAATAATTCACGTCCTTGCGAAGATACCTTCCATAATTTTTGCATCACTGAGCTTGAGGAATTTTTTCTGAAGATATTTAAAACGCTTTTATTCTTTATTTAAAACTTGTACATATTTCTTCATTAAGCAGATTTTAACGTAGAGTGGTGGAAGCATTACTTCATTGCGATCAACTAGTGCTTCATGTACGATGGTAGCAGAACTTACCTCGAAAATGGTTTTTTCCCGCGTTGTCTTTATTACGTAATGCTTCGTGTAATCTTTACTGTCCCATAAACACAAAAAACAAGGAAATTTCATATTTTCAAATTGTCTTAACACTGCAGTTACAATTTCAAGATTTCTGATATTAAACTAGAATATTTTATCGCATTTAATTTGAATTTCATCGTATTGTACTTTTCTTTCATAATGGTGGGACGAGCTATAATAATTGAAGCAAAAACATTGTCGTTATAAAGTAATACTGCCTTTAAAATTGTAATGGAGGAATCTATAAATAGTCTCCCTTCTTTTTTCTTTTCCGTCTATTACCCCTCCTTGCCTACGTATGCCATCATCAAACCGAATGCATAATATGTATGCGTCAGCGCACTATACATGCCTGATCTTTTTATTTTGATGTCTGGATTGCCGAAGAGAGGAGTGGCATAGATTCGACACGTCGTCAAAACAAAGACGTATATGACAAGAGAGATGGAGAGGAGAGAAGAAAGAAGAGAGAGTCATGGCTTAACGCAAGTGCTAGTGAACTCACTCAATAGCTCGTTGATAGTAAACCCACAGGTTGGCAATAAGGGGACCAGTGTGGCGTGCGTGATAGCGTTTGGCCGTGTGCTCGGTCTCTTCCTTACAGGACACCGAATTGGTAACAACTAAATAGGATCATTTTCCCTCAACATCGGGGTTTACTGCACTATTTTTGATTTATTTTTGGTGTAATTTGGTGAGTCGGGTCGTATCTGACCTATGAAACAGATCCTCCAACGCACTACGAGTTATCTCTAAAAATTCACTAGTAACATCATCGGCAATGATTTATCGCTGCGGTTGATGATTGATCTATCGGTAGCATGAGCTCCCTTCTCTCTCTTTCTCTCTCTCGATTAAATTGGCTTGCTTTCTCCGCAAAACGATTACAGTCCTTCGGGGTATTATTCTTTAAAGTACTTTCTACGTCGGAGTCTAATAATCTTGATACATATTTCTTCTAGAAAAACTAGCAGGCGTAAGCTTCCTAGTTCTGTATTGAACAGATCCGAGATACAATGATGTGGATGTAGTATTCTATTCTTTTCGAGGTGCTTAATTCCCCTTGAGCGTTACCTCTCACAATTTGTGGTATTTCATTACTGTGAAAATTCTTAATCGGCAATTTTCATGCTAGAAATGGAGGGGAAAATAGCAGGGGAAACTAAGGCAATGCGTGATAGAAATTAACGTTACGAATAACTGGAAAATGGATAAAAAATGATAACATTTATTGCACTTTTTGGAGTTAATCAAAATGATAAAGAACAAAATTATAATAATGAATCGCAATCACACTTAAATTGCTACAATTAAATCGCAAAATCAAAGCTGCGTTTAGCTCTCGTTTGCAAGAGGTAGGATTAGCATTACACAATAAATTGAACAAAGTAATCCGTGAGGCTAAATTAGTGGAAAGAAACGAAAACGTGAAAAACTTTAAGGTGACAAGTCCGATAAATTTAGAAGCAGGCTGAAGAACAATAAATTTGATCAGCAAAATGACAGACCCGTAGTCAAGAGCAGAGCAAAATATTATTTTAGGCAAAATAACAAATAATGGAAAATGACATCGCTTAATACAAACTCCCATGGTCACTTTTAGTTGAGCGCAGGTGTTACAAATGGCTGGGTCAGTCAATAATTGGTAAATCCGCAATAAATCAGATTTGACAAGTAATCAAATGACTACAAATTATTAGACAGCGCTAGTAGCATGCTAAACCTGACGAATCAAATCGGATATTGAAGAATAACGAGAATCGCAACTATTATTTACTGTACTGGCCAAGACTTCCGTAGTTGATCGTAGCTGGAAACTCTCTCCTCGATTTTCATCGTAGATCTCTTCAGCTCATATTGCTCCTTATTTCCTTTTTCGCATTTGTATAGATTAGAGTGGGTTAAGACAAGCATGTGTGACTGTGTGTGTGAGTAGTTAGGGCGAGGCAGGTAGCAACCTTGAGTGCTTATGTTAATGAGCGATTAGTTGGCGTTTGTGTCGCATGCTCCAATGTTCCCGAGATTACCAACAAAAAAAAGTAAACAAAATTAGCATACGACTTACGAACTATCGCAAGTGCCAGTACGCAACCTTCAGCCGAGCTCATTGCAACGAGAGATCAGCGGCGGTCAACGTCCAACTTTTGAACGTCGAATCACTCGTTACAGACTTTAATAATCTGAAGATTTAGATGCTGTTTGTGGTGAAAACAGCTATTCGCAAGTTCGAAAGAGAATTTTTACAGCTTTAAAATAAGAGGTCGAGCACTTTTTTCTGATAATTTTTTACTAAGCCAGAGCATTTTTTGTAAAAAGCAAACGAGTTTTTTTGTAAAATACGATTACATAAGAAATAAGCGAGATAGAAAAAACTTTAAAGAAAAAAAAGATGTAGTTTTATTTATAGAACAAAGATTTGTAGTTTAGATTTGATTTTGAGAATCTAAATCTGCAGCCTGTTTAAGTTAGATAAAATTTTTTACATTTTTTATTTTTTTTTTTATTAGTTATAATAAACTAAAATTTGATGTTTTAGAAGTCTACAATAGCGTTTCTGAAAGGTTTTTCATCTTCTCTTTCAAATGCCTGTTGATTTTTTGAGATACAACTTTTAGGTGTTGAGTAATACGTAACACTTTTTAGCTCTGCCGATTTTTGTATTGGGTGTTCAAAGTATAAGTCTAGCAACATCATATACTCGGTTCTTATACTATACCATGCTACAACCACATGTCTTATATCGTATTCATAAGCTTCGCACACACTTGACGATTACAAGATTTTATACTCTGACATAGAAGATTTTGAGTTATGTGTAGGTGGAGCTGAATAAATAAATAGTTGACAACTAACTGCAAAAAGTAGCGCTGTTGACATTTGTGTATTGGATTTGTTATTTTGTTGTTAAACTCTTAAATTTAAACAAATAATATAAATTACCTTAATTGTCACCTTGCGAAGTGAGGCCAGGAATACGAATACGGTAATTTTCGGCTGAATAAGCTGCCAATACAGCCTTGTATGTAGCCGTCCAGTCCACTACATCTTGGACTATATTGGATTCTATATAACTGGTGAGGCTCTTCATGCATATACTACCTATTGACCGATTGAGGGTCCTCTGCATACATATAAACTCAAATATAGCTATTTGAAATGAAAATGCCTAATAAAAAGAATACTTTGATATTCGCCGAGTTTGCTATAATTTGAAGTCTAATAATATAACAGATTTTTAACTTATTAACTATGTAGGTGATGCATCGTATCAAGTTAGTTTATTATTTACTTTTTCAAATAAATAGAATAATCAGCTGCACAGGATATCTTCATAGGATATCTCCGTATCAACAGATAAGTTGATTTTTAACAGATAAGATCAACAGATAAGTAATCGGCTGTTAAAAATTAAAAAAATAATTCTTTTTGGAGGTACCACTTATGTCGACTGTATGAATATTAGGAACCTTTTACAGGTATTTTATGTCTGTAAACATCCAATTTTATATAAATACATATTATTTAGGGATAAATGATTCTTTTTCTTTTACTTTAATATTATTTTTTAATAAAATCTA